AGTCTAGGTGACAAACTGAACAACTGATCACTTATTCTTAAAACACTTCATGCGCACATGCACATGCATACAGGCACTCCTGCATTGTTTTACTGCATTATACTGAAGGGGAATGATGTGAGAGCAGCATTAGTCCACATTAGTTCCCTGTGGTTCCCATTGGAGTTAGTGGCATTTCACTCATTAATGCAGCAGTCCACCTTCACTCCCAGTCACCAAGTAACACACTTAAATCACACAAAATGAAAACAAGCCAATCACAACATGTGGGGACCATCTCTACATGCCACTAGTTGATTTCAGCAGCACAGTGGAGCTACGGACAACATTAAGTGAGGTAGGTTAGTAAGTGTTATGTAGTTCTCAATGCCCAATCAGATTAATGAAGCAGATTTCATCCAAACACAAACACTGATTGGCCAGACTTACTCTCTACAGAGAGTTCCAGAGGTGGGAGCAGCATGAGGGAGAGAGAGACATCTGTTAGCATCGTCACAAAGCATGTACTCAGTGTCAGAGAGTACACTCAGCATCTTCAATTTTTTCAAACACATTTGAGCAACAACCAATTTTACTTTCTCCCTGACATGGGAGAAACTTGAGTGTAAGTGCAAAAAGGCTAAAAAGAAACACTGAAAAATATGGGAGATAAGAAGGAAGGAGTACGAAAAGGAGTAGTGTGAGATAGGCAGATGGAGATCACTGGTGAGATGCAGTACCTTGAAGGAGGCTGAGCTTATACCGGATTCTGCCGTGCCGTACACCCTGCCGGAGTCTCGCTGAAATTCATCAAATCGTCAAAACGTCAAACGAGGGGGAGGGGGAGGAGCTCACACAGCTTACGACATGTGTGAGAAAACGGAGCACTCAAGACGGTGGAACAGAAGTGGCAGTGTTAGAGAGGCCGAATCGCAGCTTGTTAGTCAGAGGAGAGAGCGGGCAGCCCAAATATGTACGAGTGTGTGTGTTCGTGTGTGCTTTTGAGTGTGGGAGCGGTCAGTGTTGTTGCCTCAGACTGCAGGTAGAGGAGGGGAAAAGAGAAGGGAGAGCCAGCGGGTGTGAAGAGTGCAGCCAGCGGTTTGGCTGCTCAACAGTGACAGAACAATCCCACAGGACGGCGGCGAGCGTGATGGCACACTCATTCAGGTGTGGCATGCCGTTAGAAAACAGTCCAATGCACGCGTTCCATGCCCGTGTTTATGTCTGAGTGTGAGTAAATTTGAGGAAACATTTTGACCTGTTTATCCCGTCTTTATCACTAAATTCATTAGAAAGATGTGACAGCTAAAGTGTGTGTGTGCTTTTTAAAGCGGTGTAACACTTTCTGTGTTTGGCAGAATCCGGTACAGTCAAGGATGATGGGATAAACAAAGTATTTGAAAAAGTAAAATTAAAGCAGGTGAATTATGAATCTTGTGCCACGGTACTGCAAATGAATGCAGTGCGTCTTTGTGCGAGGGTTTATGCTGCATGCATCCATACCTTACTGTGAGGGTCAGCAAACATCCTGGTGAAAATTTCACAGAGCCTCTTCAACTCAACCCGACTACAGACAAAACAGCAGCAGTTAGTTGGAAATCATCTATGACTTTATTAACTGCAAACACGCCTGAGTGACCTGACACTGACCTCAGGGTGCGCTGGTTTTTAAGCAAAGCCTGAAGGCCCAGTAGACCCTCCTTCCTCTCAGACCAGTTGGCACTGGCACAACGATTGAGCACCTGGAGGAAAGAATAAGATGGAATACATGCACGTAATAAATATTCAGCTTAATATTGAAGTAACACGTTTTTAATGGCTTTTCAGATTTAAGCACAGGAGACATGAGTATATAAACCTCACTGATCATATTCACTCACTGATTCTGGGTAGTAATATCTTCACTACAAAATTCTAGTGCTCAAAATGAACTGGAGCGGGAAAGGTACTGTGACCCTAACAGATCTGTATATAGACTATAAAGACGGTCTGCATAATTTCCAAAGTTTTTAACTAAATACAAGCTTCCAAATTCTCACTTTTTCATTATCTCAAATTGCACACTATGTTAAGGAAAAGTTTTCATAAACAGAATAGAAACCGTTTCAGGTAAACACCCTCTTTAAGAGCGCTTGGTACTCTCTACAAAGGTCAAATTTATTTATATATCACATTTAAAACAGCAGAGTTGACCAAAGTGCTGTGCATGAAAAATCCTAACAACAAATATCAAAGTTACTTCATTGTTTACACACTCCTGTGTCTTCAGCTTTTATACAGGAAGCCAAGGACCAGAACACAGAATTGTCAGCACAGTTTTGGGAAGAATCTTTGCCCCTTAATCACAACTGTCAACACAAATTAAAGACTGATTTAGGTGATGCACAGGTTGCATTACTCTAAAACCAAATGGAACCGCATCTTTCCATTAACATGTTTTCAGTGTGCGCTGTTTGGTTGACACATAAGGTCGGTATGGCCTGACCCTTATGTCAACGTTTTAGTGGCTTTCTGCAGCCTTATCCAGAAGCATCAAGCATAACAGTAATTTCTAGATTGATGGATGCTCCTTAGAAAACCTTGAGGTTCCACCTGACATTCAAATTGCTCTGCAAACTTTAACTTTAAAAGAGCGCCTTAAAGATACTGTTCCCTTCTGTGAAACTTCAAACCCATCTAAATTTAACTTAAGTCATTTAATTTTTTTCTAAGGCCCTAGGTTTTAGGGTCAGGCCATACCGACCTTAGGGCAGCAGCAGTATCTATTTCCTGCTGCTGTTGTTTACCTCAGCTACATCTTCTGTTTGTCTCATGTAGGTGGGGATGGCCCCTCCGTTTCTGGAGCTATAGGATCTCTCTGAACAGGCGCTGGATGCATCGCTGTTGGCATCGTCGTCAGAGTACATGCCGTAATTCTCATACCGTCGCCGTGCTGGCTTCTTCTGCAGGGGAACAGAAAGGGCATGACATTACAATGAAAACAAAAACCAACAAGCAGGACATTAAGAAAGCATGCACTAGCACATCTTGATAGAACACAAACCAAGCACACACACACCCACACACAGGTAAGAGGTAGGAAAAGAAGCTGACCTTGGATCTCATGTCTCCCAACAGCTGACAGCGTTAAACAGAGGTAGAATCAGGGTTTAGTTAACAAACAGACACACAGTGTAGGAGCTAGTGGCAGGATACTGGAACGTGCACTGTTTGTAGCCGGGATGTTCCTGGTGACTAATTTCTTAGACTAGTGTAACCGACGAGTCTAAAACTAAGAAAGACTCAGATATTACGTTAAATTTGAAAACTGTTTAATGGACAATGTAAAAAAACTCTATAAACAAAGGCATTTAAAACCATTAATGACATTTTTCAATAATGGATCATGTCACTTAACCTGGTGTGACCTTTCATCATGCATTAAGAACACTGCACGTTATACTTCAAATAGAACGTGAAAAACAAACAGTAAATAAATAGTGTTAACAAAAAGATCAGGCCTAGCATAACAGATTTATGCTGTTTCTCAACAACAATGCTCCATCTGGTGGCAGATGACTGCATAACATTTAGGACAATAATTTACGGCACTGGGCATCAATTAAAATGTCAAACAATTAGATTAAACGGCTAGTAAGTCTAGTACCGACTAGTCACAACGGCTATGATTAGTTAGTTGTGCACAATGCTGTGTTAGAATTTGAGTTTCCATACCAGTGCATCTGCGAGAGCCTCTTCTACATCTGAACCAGTGTTCAGGACCCTCATAGCGCTGACTGAAGAAGAGAGACGGCTTGACTGACTGATTCCAAAACCTGATCCTGCAGACAGAGAGAGGAAGGATGGACAGAAAGATAGCAGAATAAATACATTAGCAAAACTTCAGATTAAAACAAGTTTGCACACACTCAGCACTCGTCCACAAATGATGTCATTCTCCTGATCATCCATTCGCTAACGTTCACACAACTCACACACGCGTGGCACTTTCCCACGAGACAACCCTGTAAGTTGATGCGATGACGCGTTAGGTGACATTGCAGATGGCACTTGGGGGTAAAAAAAAAAAAAAAAAGCATGATTGACATAAAACGCAGGAGAGCATGTTGACGTCCCTGTGGAGGAGGGACGCAGCTAAATAAAGAAGACAAAGAGACACTGATAAAACCAGCAGAATGGTTATAAACTGGCAACTGAACGGGCGGAAACATGCGATTCCACTGGAGAGCCCGACATCCTGGAGCAGAACGTAAAAAAACAAAACAAATCAAAAATCAACTGATGGACGACGAAAGAAACGGGCTGGTAAAATGTGGGAGATGATGAACTGCAACTAAAAGAGAACAAAAAAAGAAAACGCAGAGAGAAAATCAAGTCAAGTGGTTGGGTGGGTGAGGGACGGAGAAAGATGTACTCAGCCTTCACCTGCAGCCCCAAAAGCATCAGGTGTGTGAAGAGCTCCGGTGGAGCGAGAGTAGCTCCGCGTTGCTGCAACCAAGATTAAAACACACACACACACACACATACAAACACACACAGAGTTTAGGATTGACAACCAAGACCACACAAACTCACACTTATCGAGTAGTGCATGAGAATAGAAAGAAAGACTGAAAAACATAAAGGTGTTATTTCTCTACTTTCCTGACGCATGTGTGTTTGAGACTTTTTTTTTTTCCAGATACTGGATTCAATTTTAATCTAAAAATCAAAGAGCTAAGAGTAAAGCTTCAATACAGTCAGACTCTTTTCTCGGATATCCTACTAATTCCTCTCGGGTATCTGTCTGCTGCTGCTACTCACCAAGAGGTGTGAAGGAGCGTACGGGGCTGGTGTCCCGGCTGCTCTCTCTGCTGGCCTCTCTGCTGCAGCCCTGACTCATACTGGGCCGCGGGATACGACTGCCCCGAGCTAACGCCACCCAGGTAACAACCACGGAGTGCAGACAGAAAAGAAAACGGAAAAAGGAAAAGGGGAGAAAAAGTACACATAAAGAAAGACATGAGCAGTGACAAAGAAGTCAAAGAGGAAGGCACGTACATAAAGACATAAATAAGACAGAATAAGAACAGGTGACAAACTGACAAAAACAAGAAAAATGTGAGCACAGGTTGTTTTTTTTCCCCTCTGATGTTTAAGAAACCATCTTAGAGGTGTGAGCGCATATCTATCAGCTAATCTACTGGTATTATTTACTGGTATCACACCCTCAAGAGTCTAAAATCTTCTGTTTCCTTTAACAGAATAAAAAACTAAATCTTAACACTGAAACTAACAAATCATTCACGTTTTAAAGACAAATTTGGGTTTTCTATCAGAGTTTATGACTTACATGTAAACAAATAATTGAAATTTCTGCACATTTAGTTTCTTCTATTCATCTAATAGTTCTTATTAACTGATTTTCACCTTCAGAGATGTCTGATACACACAGGTGCTCAATGTGTCTCTTTTTCTCACACACAAAGACAAACGGACAGAAAAAGTGATTGAGAAAGAGATGCAGCAATCAAGCAGGTGGCTGAGGGAAAGGGCTGTGTTTCATTCAGCAGCACTGCAACTTCGCTGTTCATTGCGCCGTTCATCAGCTTCAGCATCCAGCTAGCAAATCAGAATTAATCACGGGCTACTAACGGTCTACCGAGCAGAGATGAAGCGTCGCTGATCCTGTGTGAAGCTTTCTTCAACCAGCCACTAAAACAGGTTAGTAAGGAGAGGGGGAAGGTATGACTTGTAATCCGTGAACATGTGCTGATCACAGGCACCCATCACCATAACAACACAGCCAAGACAGACAAGTTAGAACGATGGAATCTATGAAGCTGAGGCAGCAACTGATGATGGGAGAGACTGACTGTGACGGCAGCCGTGATCGAGGGATTTTTTTTTTTTTAAATCATGGATAGAAATGGTGTAAGGAGATGGAGGTTAAAGTGAGGATGAGAATAGGCACATTGAGGTGGTTTGATGGGTAGCACAAGGGTCCAGTCGAGGTCGAAGCCTTACCTCCTCTGCTTGCTCCGTTGTAGATGGAACTAATGCTAGAAGGAGCTACGAGACAGAAGCAACAAGGACAGAGAAAAAGGAGAGGAGCAGAGGAAGAAAAGGAGGACAGGGAGCAGGAGGGAAAAAGGCAAGTTTAGATCCACGTTTACAGGGAAACACAGAGACTGGTCATCTGAGTTTGATGGCACAAAATATCACCCAACACTTGAGCAGTTTCTAAAGCAGGCACAGCTAATTTATAGAAAGACAGTATTAGTTCAAAGCACGTTCATGCACTCACCCACAGACAGGCGGGTGGGTGAGGAGTCTCTGGAGCAGCCCTGGCTGCGGGGGATGCGGCTGCGTCTGTGTCCATCCCCGGTGGATCCAGCCAGCACCCTGTGAGCCCCGGTGCTCATGGTGCTCAGGGTCGTGCTCGTCAGCACGCGACCAGGGGAGCCGCTCCGACTACCAGCTTCAGAGAGACATAGATTAACATAGATTATCCGTGGTGCATGGGACATTTATCAAAAAAAGCTGTAGTGACACCACCCCTCTATAACGTGACAACTTCATTAAAACAAAAAAGAAAAGAAAAAAAAGAAGTGATCAGTTTCTTATACCAACAACTGGCAAAGGTAGTTGGTAGTTTTTGAAGCACATGTTGGCATTTTATGTATATCAAAAATACACATCACTAGGGAAGGATTGCTGGGGCCAGCAGAGCTACGGTGAGTTCAAATTCTTTCAAATTCATTAAAAAAGGGCAACTCGTAGGTAACTGTCATTACTGGATTGTAATTTTGAATTTGGATTGAATTTAAATTGAATAACAGTCTCAATTTCTCTTCCAAAGGCATCCGATCTCCCAAAGCTAAGGCCACAGTGTGTTTCTTTCTACAGTGGGTCATTTTGCTATAAACTAGAAGACAAACAGTCCAGCAGAAGAAGCTCTGCAGTGCTGGAAATGTGAAAACAGATGCTTGGGAAACAAGCTCCCGTGCTCAAGACTTGAAACCGACCTTAAAGAGGACCTATTATGCTCATGTCCAGCTGTGCAATGTTTTGTTTTTAAATTCTGAATTGTGTGGCTTTGGTGCTGCCTTCAGTTCATCCCCTGTTGGAATCAAGCAGTTTTATTTGCTTCAACTTTATTCTGACTGGCTGCCCCTCACAAACAAAAGGTTTGACCACCAGCTTAGATGTCATAGAGATCCAAAAGGAGTTGGAAAAAAAATTCTGAAGCTCAGTATTTGGAGCAGCCTAAAGCCTAAGCTTTTGGCTTACAGGAACAACTCAGAAGCTGACCTCAGTATTTCAAACTTAGGCCATGTTCGATGTGAGCACCCACCATCACAGCAGATTAGACAATGACAGAAAGCAGGAAAAGCATAACAGGTCCCTTTTAAATTGATCTCTTTAAGACTAAAAATGAGCACGCAGACCAAATTCTCTCTTCTTTCTCTCAATGAGAGACAAAAGCTAATCTAAATGCACACACACACACACACACAGAATCACATAACCTACTGAACTATGTGCTAACACCTTGTGACACATAACTAAATAAAATGGATCTAAATGACAAAACTGTGCTTAAGTTGTTTTCTGTGAAAATATGATTAATGCACAAAGAGTTTTGATATCCAGTAGCTGATAAAAGATGTTATAAGTAATGATCAACTCACGCTGTCTGACAATTTCTTAGCTTGGATTTTTTAAGTGCCGATAACCCCCAAAACCCCAAAAAACAAACAAAAAAAACCCAGACAAACTAGTGATACAATGGTGAAAGAAAGGTTACTGAAACCAAACATAAGCTACAAAACTGTGAGAATTACTAGCTTGGAATCTAATGATGTGCTTACATAGAAGAAGAAAAAAAAGAGTGACTTTCGACTTTTCATTGTGTAACACATAGAAATGCAGAAACATGAGGCTCCCAAAGCAGTGTATATCGCATGGTAACAGCATAGCCATGTTATAAGTCTGTGGCTACAAATCCCAGCATGCCTAAGCCAGAGTGGGTGAAACTCTCAGTGACCTTTCTGCGTGCACGTGAAGATAGTGAGGTTTGGGAAACAGAGGAAAGAAAGTACAGCTAAAGAGAGCAGGGTAAAAATAAGTAGCGTTGTAATCTTACCACCGACAGGGGTAGCAGACTGAGATCCTGAGCCATTAAGCCCATTGGTTGGGAAGAAAGGGGGAAAAGCAGAGGTGAGGGGGAAGGAACAGCAGATTAAATCAGATGAATTATGGGTGTTAGCGCAAAAGAAGTGTCATGGGAGTTAAAAAAATAAGAGTACGAAGGGAGAGGATCCTGGTGGTCCATACCAAGAATGAAGGCAAAGCTGAAGCACTATGTTGAAATAATTCCATTAATTAAAGAGAAAACAAGTACTGAAATGTAGCTGAAGCAAACACACACACACACTTAACCAGCCGCAGATGACAGACTTGGAAAAGCAGTGCATGTTGGGACAACTCACATAGCATATGTAAAAAACAAAAAACAAAACCTGTTTAACAATGAGGGAAAAATGGTTTAAAGTAAATATACTGAGCCATACCCTCACACACTCACGGAAAGCTTTCCAACCCTCTTAACTCCGATTTGGTCCTCAATCTAAATATCCAGATTTAACTGGTGCACTGGTTTGTGGCCCAATCACTGTCTGATTTTAAACTGGTCTCCAAGATGGCCCGAAGCAGCATATCAGCGGTTAATGTCTTGGAGAGCAGGTACACACGCAAAAAACACACACACAGCTGCCTAATGTGCTGCAATATAAGAATAGCCCAGAGGCTTGTGTCTCGTATTTTTAATAACCTGAATAAAAGCCAGAGCCAGGCTGGAGAAGCGGAAATGAACTGTTCACCACACCATCCTCAGTGATGAAACACAGCATGCAGAAGAAACACACACACACACACACACACACACGCACACGCACACGCACACGCACGCGCACGCTCTCCTGTTTACACAAAACACCCTGATCAGAATGAGAGCGGGTGGGTCACCATTCCCACTGTGATACAGAGATAGACAGGCACACTGACACACGGACAGAATACCTGGTGTGCAATCGGATTCGTCGGAACCTGAAGGCACAAAAACATTCACATGGAGCTTATCGTCACCGTGGAGGCAACAAGTTAAGAAACTCCACAAACAAAACTTGAGGAACCGCAAATACTTCTACAAGCTCGCTCTCTCATCATTTCTCCTGTTTTACCCAGACTGTTTCACTCACAGCTGGCTTTAAATTATGCTCTGTGTTTTGGCTGATGCGAGGAGGTACGTACGTTGCGACTGGGACACCATCTTGGTGCGGCTGCGTCCTCTCGAGTCCACCTGACTCGACACGGTGCTGGCAGTAGACAAAGGCTGCTTGGTACGCACACGACCTGCATGCAAGTAGAAGCACAACCATTAAAAACAACCCCCAAAACAGACCTACATTTTACACACTAATGAAACTACTCGCACACAGTTTGCAGCTGAATGAAGCCCAGAAACTAAAAAGCACTAGAGCTGATGAAAAGCCACTAATACTGAAAGTTGCTAAAGACTGGACCCTAAACTCAACATTCACATTCAGCCAGGTGCAAACACAGATGAATACAACAGGGATGCTTCAGTGGATTAGAAACCCGTCTCAGAAAAGAAATCCCTGAAAATAACCAGTTAAGTATTTGATAAGGTATTTTATTATAGACTAAAATGATTTAATGATTAAAAGGGAATTTAAGGGAATAATCCATTAATCTCCCACCAACCAATTACTTTTAGAACCCACTTTATAATAGCATTCACATGTCCAAACTCGGTGGTTAAAGGGGACCCGTCATGCTCGTTTTCAAATCCATATTCTTTTGTTTTATCTCATTTCATATTCAGTTTATACTCTTTCTGAAACAAGCTGCCTTAGCTCCACCCCTTTCAAGTTTGAAGTTACCATATTTGGGCTAACATACAGAGCCAAGAGAAGGAAAGAAAATCTGAACATTTACAGGATGCTGAAGCTTGAGTTGTTGGCTCACAGGGGTTACTTGCACATATGCTGACCCTCACTAATTCAAACTAAAACCATGTTTAAAAGAAGCATCTACCATAGTAGCAGTAAAAATAACACAGGAATATATCAGAGAGCATAATAGATCCCCTTTAAGCAAAGTCACTTTTCTTGTTTATTATTATTATAAAATCGATCAAACACATAATTGTTGGATCCAAAAAGACTAAAATCAAAATTTCCATCTAGAACATCCCGACAAATATGCACACAAACATCCACCTAACCACAGTCTTACCATTGTCTGATTTGGTTCCTATAGACAGACAAAAAAGGAGCATGTTTTAAGTATCACAGTTCACCTTTTGTGTGCAATATTCAAGCAGCACATCCTTATAGTATCCTATAAAACCTCAACAGCTGAATGATACAGTTTAATGTGAGTACAGATGGTTAGAAAATTGCCATATTTAAAATAAGATTCAGCTTTAGTAAAGCAGAAGATGATTTTAGATGTGTTAATATTTGATCTATGCTTCTGTGAACAGCGCAGTAATAGAAATGAGGTTTTGAAGTTGACAGCAGGGGGCGCTGTGGCCACACACTGTCACAACTGAGTTAACATGGACTGCATGGAGTGAGGAAAGGGAAAAGAGCAGAGAAGAAGTGGAGTGAGATGATCTTACCATCCGTTTTATCAGAGGCATCATCTTTAGTAGCAAAGAGAAAGAGGGGGAGGGGAAAAAAAAAGGAGACCAATGACAGGAAAACCCCCCAAAAATAAAATGAAATATTTTTTTTTTTACAGAAATTATACAAAGGGAAAAGGGAAAACGAATAATGTGAATAATAAATGTGAAAAGAAAGTTGAAAATAAGAAAAATAGAAAAAGATGAAATACAAGAGAAACAGGAGAAGAAAGGAGCACAGTGTGAATTAGTCACATAACATCTGTTTATCTGAGAACCGTGCAGATGTAGGGATCGACATCGAAAATGTAGAGACAAACTGACACAGAGGACAATATCCGTACAGAGAGCATGCATAGAGTATATCTACACACAAGCACACGAACAGGCAAATGAGCAGGCAGCAGGAGAGGAGAGGAGAGGAATCAGTGTAAGCGCTAAAGTGTTTGGGTCTGGACGTCCATCCTTCTGTTATGCAGATGAGTCAAGCTTTTATACACAATCACGTACTTCTTACTTCAACCTGTCAGAAACTTTAAAAAACTTCCTCTGTACTGATCTGACGAGACTCTTTATAGTCTGACTTCCAGCTGATCACATGCTGACCTACGTCTCCACTGTCTGAATAAGCATCTAACTTGACTGGCAGAGCCCTTACCCAGTGAGGAGTAGGACCCCGGGGGCAGACGGCCCGCTCCCCCGGTTTGTCCGACGTGCCGGTATTTAGCAACTGCTGCTGCGTTAACATCCACGTCGCTACGGGAACGCTGCAGGGAGGTCGATGACACCCCACCCTTTGAACCCGCAGGGACTGACAGGACAGGAGGAGCAGGAGGATCGTGTTGGAGAAAGGGTGGGAGGTGATGGGATATATATATATACACACACACACACACACACCACAAACACATGCATGCACAATACTATACAAACACAATATCGATACCATACAGAAAAAACAAAATTGGGCAGACAAGTATACGCATGTGTACGCGCACATGTGTGTTGTAAGATAAAAACATAACAGGATGTGATTGCTCATGGGAGGAGACAGGCTGATGTAAATGAGAATGAAGGGAGATGGTTTTTATAGGAGCTGATGTTTGCCTCAGAGTGTGTGTGTGTGTGTGTCTGAGCAGGAGAATATGTGTTGAAGAAGGCTTGTGCGTGTGTGTACATGTGCTCGACTCACCTCGCCCCGGTGCTGCTGACCATTTAGAAGTCAGAGGCCGACTGAAGAAAAAAAAAAAAGAAAAAAAAAAAGGGAGAAAAGTAGGTCAGTATATAACAACGCAGTGAGTAGGTCTTAATCATGATCAATATACATTTTCACTGATGTGTGGAATTGAATAAAACAGCTTTCTCAAGCATTGTTAAAACTCCAACACTAAAAACACTAAAGATTAAATGACATTGGACACAAAACAGACAAATATCCATTTTTCTCATGAAACAATTACACAAGATCTGGGTACCTCTGCAATAAAAGCTTTTTATAACTCTTTATGTTTTATTATCAAATGTTTTTGTCACATAGATATAGGGGTGTATGTCATGTATACATGGGGTAGCTGTGACTCAGAGTGACTCCGACTGTGAATGTGTGAGCGAAAGGGTGATATAAGACATGGTTGTATAAAGCATTTTGAGTAGAAAAGTGCTAATATAACAGTTTAAAAGTTTGCCTTGACTTTTAGTTAGCACTGTGCCATCGCAGATCTGAGACTATAAATAATATATTAATTTAATATCAACAGCAATCAACAAGATGTAGTACAACAGGAAACAATACAAAGAGGAAAATGACAACCTTCTAGGAACTGCTCAAATTTAACATAAGAGTGAAATGCAGTGTAGATGAATAGTTTCAGGTTGCTAGGATTGCAGAGAACAAATCATGGTCAAACAATTGTATATTTAAAGGGGGCAGAAAATAACTTTCACATCTATATTTTCACTCTTAGACGCTACTAGAGCAGCTTTGCATGATTCACTATTCAAAATAATGCTCATTTAAACATAATTTATACTGAGCTTTGGTGCAGCCCCTTAACTCATCCACTGCATGAAAGAAGGTGTTGTAGCTTCTCTCACTTCAAGCCGCCTTTGAGCAAAGCCAACAGGATCCTAAAACACACTTTTGACCCCTGCCGCGACTGAATCACCCGCCTGCCAACAGTGATGCATCACAGAAGGAGCCACTGTTTCACCAGACTTGGAAGCAGTTTTTTTCCTCAGGCTTTGAGTCTACTGAACTCATTCTCTACACATCTCCATGAAAAACAGTGACCTTGTGTTTCATTGGTTATATGAATGGGCACTCTGCTTTAATTCAGGATTAAAGACAGATAAGATAAAAATAAGTAGAGGAAAAATAAGTATGTGTGACAGATGTCAGAAAGATGTCATCTATGTATCTGACAAAGATGTGTAAGATAGGAAATCAAAGTCAAAATCACTTCTATAACCAGTGCCATCATTAAAAGAAGACTTAAAGTAAACATGCAGGACTGAAGTTATCTATGGAGGGACGGTGCAGTGCGGTCATTACTTGAGGCTCTCTTGAGATGAAGATGAGGAGCGGTCACTCTGGGGAAGTGAGGCCACGCTGCCAGAGCTCTTCAGGCAGGACTGGAGGGTCCTTTGGTATGAAGGCTCTAAGGAGTTGTAAAGAGCTTCAGTTTCTGCTGGAAAATGGTTCCTCAGACCCCAGTAAGCCCTGAAAGAGACAGAAGAGCAGATGAAAACAGAGGCAGAGATGAAGACAAAAAGAGAAATGTACGAGGGAGGATAAAAGTTGGTTTATGAAGGGGAGTGGATGGAGCAAAAGTGAAGAATCTGGGGGATTCATAAAGGAAAAAGAGGGTGGTGAGGAATTTACCACCATTTTTTTCCCCCACATAATGTGTTTTTCGGTATGTCTGTCTTACTTGCGAGCCTCCACTCTGGCCTCTGAGTCGGCATCTCGAATTCCTTTTTTGATGCTCTCAACCAGGACTGCAGTGTGTCTGAAACAATAACACAAACGGACGCACAAAGAGTGAACCAGCCAGTCTGAAACACATCTGGAAAGCACATTAATAGGAATCCGACACTGCGATGCTTTTGCATTTATGAAGTCAGTATGACCATCACAGCTTTCCTCTGAAAAACTGATGAGTGCTCACCTTTCTAGTGAGTGGGTCTGCCATTCCTGTAGCAGAAGGTCCAAGAAATCATAACAGCGCCTAAAGAAAACACAAAAAACAATGTCACATAACAACATCTCCAAATGTATTTTATGTTCAGCTGGTGCTAAGCTTCTTATTGTGGTGTTGACATGAGGGCCTTTGCTAATCTCACCTTCTCACTGCTACAGACTTGGATGTGCAGTTACTGGTTATCAGGGGGATGAGTCTAGGAACGTGGGTGTGCTGCAGAGAGGACAAGCAGCACTGAGCAAAAGTACACCGCAAAAGTACTGATTTAATTACGTGTTTATAAAACTCACCCGTATGATGATTCGGATAGCAGAGACACCAGAGGTGGCCATGACTTTGGCACAGTTGGGAATGAGGTTAAACAGGACGGGAACGATGGCTTCCGCTCCGTGGTCAAATTTATTCCCCAGCACTGATGAGAGGTGGCTGTAAGGAGACACCGGAGAACGCTCAGATGATGAAACCAAACACGAGCCTTCAAGCTCGTGCTGCAGTGCGATTGTGTTTGCTATATATATTTCTCAACACTCACGCCACAGTGATACAGGCCTCTCGGACCACTTGTGAGCGCAGGTCTTTAGCGGACAGTTTGAAAGCTCCATCTAGTAGCCGTAGGTGCTGGTAGAAGCAGTCGTAGCTGGCCGCGCCTGCCACTAGCAGGGAGCGAATTTTCTTAAGCTGTTAAAGAGGTTAAAAAAAAAAAAGAAACAAAGAGGGAAAACAAACAATAACATATATTATTCATTACATTTTACTGACCTAACTTCAAAATTATTTTCTGAAACTTGGTACTGGATTTACTGACAGCGTTGGCTCTCTGGTCCCAGTCGTGTTTGTCATCAGAGCAAATCTCACGGATCTTATTCAGGTTGTCATCAAGATCTCTTGTTGAGTAGATCTGCAACACAATGACAATCTGGTTTTTAAATGCCTGTATTACTAAATGATGAAATTAATGGGTGGATGCATTTTATTATATTTTGTGTGAGTTTGTACCTGGACAGTAGGGACATCTGTAAAGGCTTTTATGAAATCCTCTTCATCAACTGCCCCGGCACTTTCCTTGGACACTGGGAAGAAAAGAAAATCAGAACAGAGTTGATTAAAATGCAAGTGTGTGTTCATTTAAATTATAATACATCCATATTTAATCATCCATGAGTCCACAACCCTAAGGCCAAAAACACCTTGGAAATAATGGATGGAGGGACACGCAGAAGAAATACTAGAAACGCCTGCGCCTAGTCACTAGGTCTTTTTTCTGTCTTTTTTTTTTCTTTAAAAACACCCACAGTTAGTAGAAACTGATACAACTAATGGATTGATGATTAGTGTAGGGATTCAAAAGGTTCTGGACTGGCAGGTTTTGTGATTCTGCTTAAACTAAAAAACAAAAAGCTACTCTTACAATTATCCACACACACACACACACACATCACTGTGAGCAGACTCTGTTTCTAATGGACTTCCTGGCAGTAATGGGAATGTAAATCATCTCTCTCTCGGGGCTGTGGACCACACCTCCTATAACTCCTACAGTGGGGAGGCAGGGACAAGTCAGAAATAACAGACAAGGGAGGAAGAGACAAAAGGAAAAAGAGCCAAGGAAGGAGCTGAGATTAATGCTGGAAAAGAATATGAAAACCATGAGATTAGAGCTGCTACTCAGGCTAGCCAATCATGGAGCACAAACATGGGAAAAGGAAGGTAGAAAAGCATCTCTTCCTCCTTTCCTCCGGGCTGGCTTGGATATCAAGCTGCACCACAACGACATGTTATGTCAAAACTCTACATGGCCCTTAGAGATCTTGGAAAAATCGATGCAGCTGGCTGGCTAGCTCTAGCCAATAGCCCCGGTCTGTCACGGATGCAGCCTGATCATGAAAGCCACCTACCAGAACACCAACACCATTTCCAATTAGTTTTATTGCAGGGCATGCTGTCAGAGTGAGCAGTTATAGAAGCAATAAAGCATATTGTCATTTGTGTAAACAGACCTGGGAGATCATAATGTGGAAATATGAGTATTAAAAAAAAAAAAAGGTGCCGCTTTGATTGAAGGCTTGACATAAAGCAGCCATCTTGACCTTTTACAGAACCAAGAATGAGACGCCTGTTCTTTACTGATACAGGATTGATCTAATACTGCAACTTACTATCACACCATCTTTCTTCTTTCTGTCTGAGTGTTGCTTTCGTGGTGTGCGAGTGTGTGTGGGCGTACTGCCGTCTAAATGCAAATTCACACAAAAATTGACAGATTCCCATAAAAATGGATAAACGGAAAAGCAAAGCACCAGAAATGTTTCAGCTGCTCCCCACTGAGATGTGTTTTCATCGAAAGTGCTTCAGTTGCTTTAATCACTCACTGGGTCTCATGTTGAGAACAGATACGATTCTGTTTTAATTAATGTGTGTTTCTATCCAGGGTCATTCCTCAAACGGTAACTATAATCAGAAAACACTTCTCTGTTGGATTATTGCTTCTGTTACTCTACGTCACAGACATGCTTGAGTTTTTCAAAGTGCGATACTGATACTCAACATTCTGAACAATTTTGGCTTGTTGAAACACTTAGATTTGGGGATTGGGTGCCTGGTCTTTCATGAAATGACCCTGCGTCATTGCAGCACTAAAGTGATCAGTGTGCTAAGGCTTTCAAAACGCAGGAGTCTTGTTGCTTGCTGCTGTGCCAACTACCAGAGCTGCCACTGCTCTGCTAACATGTTGCTGATGCCACAACTTCTGTGTGAGAAAATCGCAAATTTGAGCCAAAAGTCACGATAGGCCTCTCCCTCCCTACTGCATTGAACTTAACAAGGTACAGGTTTTTGAGCTGTAGCTCTGTGTGTGCAAAAAATACTTGTAATGCACCTTATTTAGCTTCTCACAGTCAATCCATAATCAATAAGGCTGTAATGATCTAAGAGGGAAGAGATCACAATCTTGTTTTTCCATGCAGCAGAGCAATGCATTCAGACTACCAGTGTATGTGTGGATGTGTGCGCCTGTGTGTGACACAGATAGAGCAACAGGCAGCATGTTCATAAGAGCTTCCTACTGAAATAATAAACGACGGGAAAAATCGATACATGCAAACAGGGCCCAAATATAACACTCCAACCAGCTGCACCAGAACGGAGAGCTGACAGAACAGGAGGCAACAGAGAAGGATTCAAATCATTTCAAAAAGCAGATCATCTGAAGGTCTGAGTAAACTACAGATATGAGACAAATCAGAGAGGAGAGACAGATTTCAGAGGACATACAGGGGTGTCTCTTACTGCACCCTGTGGCATGCTTACTCATGTCTTTTGCTTCTTGTAATAGCTGTCAAAGTCACTGTCCTTATCCTGTTAACAACAATTCTATACCTTTACTGACAGTCTACATCCAATCAGGCATCCAAAACAAACTAAAATTGACCAACAATGAATTATGAGGACAGTAAAGGTCATTTTCCCCCCTCAGACAAGAAGTAAAATTCGTTATTTACATTGTTTTATATACTGTAACACCAAAGCTAAGAGGGAACGCATATGTGGACCGTGCTCATTTCACAGCTCACAAAATACAGATTAAAATTTATTAAGAAGATGAAAACATCTTGTCTGAATTAATCAAAAAAATGTAATTAAGGCGCCAAACAACAACGACAGGGTCTAATTGTGGGGGACTACAAGTAATAATACTCATAACACCAGTCAGTAGTTATTAAATGATATCAAACCCACATCTAAGAGACAGAAAATAGTCTATATTAGGTTTATAATACATGATGTTACACAAATATCTCCCAGTGCAGGAACACAGACCAGAGAGTGAATGTTTCTCCTTGCACCTTAACTGCAAAGAGAGGTATAAGTAGCTGTATGTCTCAGTGCTTATATATAGTTATAAGGAGGGTGGATCACAGTTAGATCCAACAGTTTGCTCCTGTACACAGCCAAAGTAGATTTTGAATTTAAACTGCTTGATTTGCAGACTTTCAACTTTAACAAAAGGGATTTCACTGCATCTGAGCAGAGAGTATAAGTCACAGTTCATCCTGAGACTTTCACCCACTGGCCCACTACCCATGTCGCTATCATGATATGCCAGACAATGTAATAAGCTTTGGATCATAAGTTGTTTCTCACACTGTCCTATCCACTGTGTGTGTAAATGTCAATTAATTTACGTACCTAGCTTGCCACCAGTAGCGCTGGGCCTGCGAGCAGCGGACGACTCTGCAGGCTTTTTGGGAACTTTGGGAACCTTGAAGGCAGCTTGGGCCGAGGAAGAGCGACTTCCATCCACACTGTCGTCATCATCAAAACTACGATCTGTAAGGCGGAAGACAATGTGTAGCGTTAGCATCCAACCTGTGTGTAAATACAGTTGCAAAGGCTTTACAACATTACCTTGAAAAACACAAAACAAACAGCCTAAAAAAAATAGAACAATTGTTTTATTTGTTTTCACAACATGCAATAAAATAATTTACTAATAAACATGTATATAGTCAATAAGATTACCTTAAAAACAAAAACAGAAAAATCTGCATCCGCTTTCAGAAGCAAATATACTGAATCCCAATTTCTAAAAATCTAGACTAACATTTTTATTTGTTGAAACCTTTAAAATATTTCACATAACGTTGGCTTTTATTTGTCACTTAAATGTTAAGTATACAGAGGTTAAGGCCACTGGAAGACAATGCATGGTAGAGGGAAAAGTAATGGTTAGAAGCACAAAGAGGATGTAGCCTACCGAAAGCTAAGTCAGGAATCACTAAATCAATACCAATTACAAAAACCGCACTCAGTGGGAGAAACAAAAAAGCAAACCCTCAGACCTATACGATCACTTCAAAGGAGGAACGAAGCCAAATCTTCAAGATGTCCAACCTCTACACCACCAGTGACTGACAGAACTCTCCAGAGCCCAAACCCTCAATCTGCATGCTAGCACAAACTATGCTAGCTGTCCAGCTTGCATGAAACTTGAGAATGTCTGAAACAATGCTGCAGCATTTGCAACAATATGTGAGGGCAGACACACGCGTGCACACACATACACACACACACACACACACACACACAACACACACACAGACACACACACACACACACACACACACACACACACACACACGTTGACTGTGAAGATCAAACTGTTGGCATAGGAATGTAGTTGCGCTCCAGTCGCTCTGACAACCAGCTATGGAGAAATGCGCCAAAGCCACCACCCTACACCTTGACTCATACATCAAGTTATTTACATGCACACAGAGACACACGGAGTCGACATGCAAAATGAGTGACAAGCATGAATGTGTACGTATGAGCCTCATTCTCCAATGTTATGGACAGACGATTTTTTCAAGCTAGATAAATGTTAAGTGGACGTGTACAGACACACATCAACAGCCATGAACTGACATTTACGCACAGTCTTTGACACACACAAACACAGTCCAGCACACCCAGGTTCATCCTTCCACTCACAGTCACAGATGCGTTGGCAGATAAGTCGCCTCATGCTTCTGGGAGGGCGTGGTGTTGGGGTCCCTCACCTCTTCTCCAAACTGTACCCCAAAACAGGTACGTGCACACCACACGCACACACATACACACACACACACCTCACATATACTTTATGTGAGGTGTCTAAGGCTGCGCACGCACACACCCCTCACATCGCTGTCCGAAAACCCCTCCACCCATACAAGTGCCGGCATTTTCTTTCACTCCTCTCCCTCTCCTATCCCTCCCTCTCCCAGCCTCTCTCCTCCTTCTCTTAGCAGCCTCACAGCCAATCAGGCGGGAGGTGACATCATGTTGTTGCAGCCAGTGTGGAGGCAGGAGGATGAATGCGTGTGCGTGATGGGAGAGAAAGGGAGACACACACAGACACCCCAGGAATATTAACAGGGCTTCTCTATGTCACTGCCAGACCAGCTAACCTAAACTCATTACAACCACCAGACAGCACAAATGCTATCTTCTAGCATCCCCCCCCTCTCTCGCTTTCTCACCCTCACACACACACACACACACACACACATCAACAACAACAACAACAACAACCTCTGAACACACTTTCTGTTGCTATATTTCTGTTTCTCCACATGCACAAAGGAACAAAGGATAATGGAACAATGATTAAAGGAGAGTGTTGACAAAGGGGGTACAAAGGGTGAACCACACCCCTCCATCTGAGGCCTTGACCCTCCCACACAAACATACACCCACAGAGCAGTTAACAGAGCCTGTAGACAGAGATGTTTTTGAGTTTGACTTTTTTAAACTTGAGTACTAAATAAACACAATTTTAAAATTATCTGTTACGGTTGCAGCATCTTCATAATGACTTTGCTAACGGGGCGATTTTAGCTTTACAAAGCACGCACACATAAAAGTACATCTGTTTTTTTGAGACATCGTGTTAGAGAAAACTTTTGATTTTCCACTTGACAAAAGCAGCCACTTACTCTCAGTGAGAGCTCTACACGGTAATCCACAGAGTATGAGGCGAGAAGCTGCAGGTTCAGCTAAATCTGCTGAAATCACAGGATCCATATAAAAAAAGAAATATTAAAAAAACAAACACAGCTTGCACACGGTGGTGCAGTTTTACTGATTTATTGTAGCATGCTCTAAATAGATAAACAGATAAACCTGGAGCCCCACAGAGTGCAAGCTGTAGATTTATTTTTATTCATTTATTGTTTTGACATTTGCAGTTGGCTTTTTTCTTTTTTGGCTCTGCACCCGACTCATTTTGTGTGCATATGCATGACGTTTTCTAGTGTTCTATGTATGTATAAACAAAAGAATTAACATTTTGACACCTTCAAAACCACCTTACCATTTTTGAAGTGTAGAACTGGGGCCTTATTAGCAACAATTGTTATGGCTACCTAGCCATAATCATTGTGATACTGAATAAATTACTTTTTCCTTTTGCCAAAATGAGCAAAGTAAAAATGCAAAGTGAAAAAGTACATTTTCTGCATGGAGCACATAAACATCCTTGTAGCATCTTTTCGAGCAACAAGAAAAATAAACACCACCTATCACTGTAATGATGCATTAGAAGGCTTTATACAACAGCTTTTCAGCTGTCAGAGGGGAAATTAGCTATAGAGACCAAAGCTGTTTTAAGCAAAAAATAAAAATATATTATTATTATCATTTAAACTGCAATGTTTACTGAACCTTTTGACAAATAACAAGAATAATGAATTAAATCTGAATTTGTATTTATGATTTAAAATTTCTATCATTTTTGCTACCTTTGGCATTTCTGTGCAATTTATTGCTTGAAATGTATGCTAGTTCTCACTGACTGCAGAAGAAATGCAAGAATATAGTGATGTTTATAATTGCACTGAATTATAAAAGCATGCATCATAAGTGAATAAATTCACAATCAGATGCACCATTAAGTGAATTTTAATTGGTAATAAAACCCACAGCTGCATTACATTATAGCAGTACTACGACATGCATCACGGGTCTTAGCATTGATTATCAGCTCCTGCTTTTGTCTAGTCAGACCCCACGGGGGTAAATGTCACTGGGTGAAGGGCAGAGCAAAGACACCAGAGAGAAGAGAGAGGAGGGAGACTGAGAGGGAGAGATGGAGAGCGTGAATCTCCTCCACAGAACAGACTGCACACATGCTGTTGCCATGACGACCTGTGCAGACCAGCTTCAAACGAATTGAGCAGCAAAGGCGGGGGTGGGGGTTCACTATATCCCCAATTTGGTTTAATCAACAGTTGGGTTTACTGTTTATTAATTTACTACATGCTAGTTACATATCAGTACACAGAAACAATCACAGCATACTTAAACACAGTGAGAGACATTAGCTACACCATGTACCAGGCAGCGTTACCATGGAAACTCCAGGCCAAGCGCCCCTCCTCTCTCCATGTGGAGAGAAGAGTTAAAAAAAAAAAACCAAAAAAAAAAAAAAAAAAAAAACTGGAATAAAAAGAGAAGAGCGGACAACCAGCTGCAATGTGGTAACCGCCCAGAGAAAATCAAGAAATCCTAAAGTACAGAGATATTAAAACACCTCTACAGAAGCATGCAGCAAAGCAGCAATTTCCCAGTCAGTAATGTGTGTTACAAGCCAAAAAATAAACATGATTAGACATAAAGGAGTGCTCCCCTGTTTACTTGTCCCTGTCTAAAGAAAAAAAGATGAGAGAAAGTCTAGCCGAGACAGAGAGCTAATCTTAAGTCTTCCAGCAAAATTTGGGGGGCTTTTGACCACATGATGGCAGTACTGACTCTGCTCTAACCAAATTATTCTGTGGTTCAAACATCAGCAAACCACCTAAAAGGAAGCAGGATACAACACCCTGCTGATCAGAGAAGGACAGAGCATTTTTTTTATGCATATGCACCAAAAACAACATTTTTAAAAGGCAGTCACACCAAATCTTCAGAAAGCCTATTAACTGATTCACCTGAGATGAAGTTTGTGAATGTTTTTACATCAGATATAGGTATCCATATAACAGTGGAACGGTCTGCAATACTGGTGCTGGTGCACACTAGAGCCAAAAGCCCACGTAAAGCTTCATTTAGCTTTAGTGTCACATTGCTCTATGCAAACTTTGCTCTACCTCGCTAACAGATTGTGTTTGTGTACGGGCAATGTCGCATATTCCTGCTCAGGCCCATGTGACAGCATGCAGAGTCCCACATAGAAGATGACACAAAATATCTTGACACTGCACGATCACTCATATGAGAGTGATGACAACTGGAAAGAAGAACACGAGCAGCACCGTGGTGTCTGAGACAAAAGCTGCTAAAAACTTTCAGCTCCAAAATAAACGAGCAGAAGTACGTATATAAAAAAAAAAAGACTAATAAAAAACAAACAGCCAATCCTACAGACATGTTAAGTGAAAAGATAAACCACTGAACATACAGTGGTTTAGATGCAAAATGGGATAATACTACAAAAATACATACAACGGAAAGTGCAAATAAAAAGAAAATAACTTCCTTTGCTTCCATAGAATGACACTCGAAGTTTTTTTTATACATACTAACCATATATTTAATTATAGCCATCAGTTTGGTAACATAAGAGGGTCAAATGCTTCACTTGCAACCAATCTGGGACAGAGAATGACTGAGCGAAAGGGGAGCAAAGGAAAATAAAGAGACACGTTTGAGGTTTAAGCTTGGATTCTCTAATAGGAGACAGGCTGCTCCATTTCCAGCCCAGCTCAGAGAAAATGATCTCATTAAAAGAAGACACATATACACAGAGACTCAGACACACACAGGTATAATTTGAGTCCCAATTCCAA